AGATCTTCACTTAACTCTTCTCTCTTTTAATTCAGTCCTCCATTCTCACCTTCAGCTCTGTAGCAGACCACTTTCTGTGGCATCTCTCTCCTCTCTGGCCTCTTCTCCAGTGGGTCATGAATATCATCTCCTCCAACATCCCTCCCCATTCATTGCTCTGTTCCAGTCTCCAAATCTAGCAGGCCCTCACTGGGAACCCAATGGCCAAATCCTTTAGAGAAGACAGTAGGCCAGCAAAGCCCGGAGGCAAGCTTCAGCTTTTTGCTCTCTCTCCTCTCCTCCATATCCATTCCTCAGTCTCATCCCCAGCTTTGTAGTAGACTACCCACCTTCTGGAGCCTCTCATGACTCTGTCTCAGATCCTAGTGGAACAGTCTGCTTGATTCCCTCCTGTGGGCAGTCACTCCTTTAGCTGGTCGCCGTTCATAAGTGTCAAATCTTAGTACCTAGAAACACATTTTGTCCAGAACCTCCAGTGGACTATAAGGATCCCAGAAGAATTTCCTACTAGGCAATACAGAGCCACCACACTCTCTTAAGAACCAGCGACAGCAATAGACACCAAGGGACAAACCACCCATTCAACAAAGATAAGACCAGATATCTGACCTATAATTAGAATCCTTCAAAACCCAGAGCTGGGACACCAGTGTAATAACACACTCAATAAGAGCTAGGACAAGACATCTCCATGAGAGTTCAGCAACCCTACTATAGTAAGCCCTGAATATTGTAATAGCTGAAACACAAGGCAAAGACCTTAAGACAGCCTGTATGAAGATGGTAGAGGTCCTTAAAGATGAAATGAATAATTCCCTAAAGAAATCTATGAAAACACACACAAAAAAATGGACAGAAATTAATAAAACTGTTCAAGACCCAAAAGTTGAGGGGAAAATAAATGAGGAAACTGAGGAAAATCTGGAAATGAAAAAATTTAGGTATTTGAGCAGGAAGCCTAACCAAGAGAATGCAGGAGATAGAGGAAGGAATCTTAGGCAGTGAAGACATAACAGAAGAAATGGATAACTCAGTGAAGAAAATGTTACTAGGGAAGATCTCTGACTCTTGTGCATCTGATTTTTGGTGTGAGGTACTAAACATTCTTTCCCATTGTAACCCAATATACATTTGCAATTTACATAACAGATTATATGGTTGTCCCTCAAAAAACATTTTCTTTTTGAAGATTTCATTCTGATAACAAACTATAAGGAAAATAACATCATGGATTGTGTGTTTCTAGACATGTAAGGCTTTACTTCTGCTCCACATGAATGACTGACATGCATGATTAGTTGTTCAGAGATCAGTTATTCATTTAAGGGACCTGTTTCTAAATTCATGTGCCTAAAACTGGATGATAGAGACTTTCACAAACACAAATCATAGTGCTTTATGAACAATTACGGAGTATACAACTTAAATGCTAAAACTATTTTTAAATATGCACATTTGGGAAACATGAACCAGGAGATAAAGAAAGTCAAACACACTTATTTCTCCAGAAAGCTATTGTCCTTTCATTTTTACTCCATCTTTTGTCCCAGGTTAGATACCTTGTCATTACTCTTAAGACAAAGTGTGTATGAAAAGCCAGAATGGTGTGTGTAACACCTAGTCTCTCTTCTGGACCTTTAAACAACAGGTAGCAGAGAAACAATGGTACCTCTTACTCTCTACAGAGAGGAAAGAATACATTCTCCACCCTGAGTCAATTTCATTTTATTGGAAGCTTGAGTGGACACTAAGACTCAGGGAGCAGTAGGCAGCACCAGTTTTCCCTTGCACAGACACCATTTCCCTACTTCAGAAATGAATTCTCCTTTACATGTTACTGGTCTTCCAGGCAGTCAGGAAAGAGTGTTCTTTCTTCGCTATGAATGTGTCAACACAAAACTACAAGTTTTTAGGTCAAAAGAAAATAATCAGAGTTTATTCTGGAGACAAATATGTGTGGTAATGGCCTAGAAACTTAGATGTCTTCTTTCTGAACAATACTTGTTTTATCTAAATAAATTTATAGTGAGCATATACCCAAAAGTAGTTATGTAAATTTCTAACTGAGTGTCATTATTTATAACATAATGTATTTTTAAGTGTTTAAACATTTCTTTGAATATATGTTTTATTTGTAATTCTGTGCACCATGCTTGATTGTCTGATGCCAGAGGAAGCAAGAAGCAGGTGTCACTTCTCTTCGGACAGGAGTTGTAGATGGTTGTGAAATACCATGTGGGTGCTGGGACCTGAACTAGGGCTCTGTGAAAGTGCAAGTGCTCTTAACTGCTGAGCCATCTCTTCAGCACCACTGTGTGAAAATATCCTTATATACAGGATTGTCCTTTTCTGTTTTTTTTTTTTGGTCTTTTAAATTTGCATTCTGTCTAGTAAAAAGATTAAAATTTACTGCTGCAATGTACAATAGTAGTTGCTTCTCTTGTAAACTTGCAAGAATAATTTTAACCCTTCTTTAATACACACATCACACACACACACACACACACACACACACACACACACACACACAATTTACCTTGATTGTTCCTTTTTGTGTTTTTTTTATGCTTTAAGTAAAATCTAGAAAACATTTTAAAGTAAAGCAATCACATTACCAATGACAATCCAGAAAGCTGTATCTGAAAGAGAAAGCATGCCTATAATCTCTTAATATCTAACATTTACCAATATAGGGAAAACTTAAAAATACTGTTTTTTTTTTCTTAACAAATTTAGGTTGTCATTACCTTATACAGAACTTTCTTATTTTAAATTTACTTTTCACTGTACACAGCAAAGGTGCATCACATGATGTTTTGATATATATCTATTAGTATCCAGAGGGGCCTGGCTGTTCTGTTTTGTAAAGTGACAACATATGGCAGTGTGATGACAATTACTGAGTGAATAGAACAAGTTGGATGTAGCTTTTGTCAAGTGGTGTATACATGGAAAATTAAAATTGGATGGAATCTTATTATGATAACCTCTAAGGAAAAATAAGCACAATGTCAAAAACAATTTGTTAACTATATTTTTCCTCTGGTTCTAGGACAAATGAAAAGGAGATACATCATATTTATTATGTAAGTAAATCTTTAGGCATGTTTTTATTAATCAATAAATACTAGTGGTACACAGCCTGCAGCCCTGACACATACCCTGCACCTATTGCTCAGCTTTTGAAAATAATTATCAACCTTAATATGTGTGCACCATGAGATGCAGATGATCAGTTTTATAGTGCTTATACATTTTATAGAAATAACTATAACACTCCCATAAGTATTTTATACATGTTTTATGCAATTGAGTAAGACTTGCAGAACAACAGTGTCACCGGTAAATGAAGAAAAATATAAAAAATATTCACACTCTATAATAAGCACATGAGAAATTCTGAAAATACTTCTTGAAAGTATTGATTTGTGAGCTCGCTGTATTTAGTAATGGAAGAAAAGAAGGAGAGGTGGAGAGTGGAGAGAGGCAGGAAGGTTATTAAGATCACAATGTGAACAGTTTGTTGTTATTAAAGGGACATCCTGAATTTGTACCTTTGAGGAAAGTGGTTCCAATCTGTATTGACAGCTAACACATGCTTCCCAGCTTTTGAGGAAATCAAAAAAAATTTTTTTCATTATCAATTGACTCTAGTAATTAACTCCAGATTTTGTTTTTTCTTTCTCTTCAAATTGTCTTTTATTGGATTCCTCTTCCAAATGTACTGACCATTCAAGTGGATGAAAAAATTTATGAAAGGAATGCTTTATGAAAGTGGATGAGATGAAGTCTTTGCCTTATCTGTCTATAAAGATGTCAAATGTAAGACATCAAAAAGAATAGAAGAGAATGAACTGTAGAACGTTTTGAGAGAAACAAAAATGTTTTTGTATGTTGAATCCTAGGAGAATACTTAAAGGGATAAAGTCAATAAGGGCACATACAATGTTTTTTTTTGTAAATAAATATATTTATAGTTTTATTTAACACCATAGTTTACACCCAGCATTTGGTCATTCATATTTTATGTTATATAAAGATCCAAATAACTTAATAAATTTTCTAGCATATTTCTATATATTACTATTGATAATTCTTTCATTGTATCTCCAGAAAGGAGAGGGGCTCATTAAGATCTGCTCTTCTCTCCTGAGCCCTGTGGCCCTTCTACTGACCAACATCCTGCCCACAACACTGAACCACCCTTGCAATAAACTATACCCCTCAAGAGAGCCTTCTGGCTACTATGCCATTTGATGAAGTGGGCTATCATAGAAAGGTAATAAAAAAGGGCCCACAGAGGTTAAGTTCAGCGTAAGGCCTCTTCTTGTACCACATACATTCAATAAACTTCTGTCACTCTGCAATAGATAAGTTTGTTTTTCTGCTTTTTAAGGATGTAATTTGCTTCTGTCTGTATTACATTCTGTGGTTAAATAAAGGCCACACATATTTGTTCCATTTGAAGACATCCAAATTTCACCTCCTGGTGTTAATGTAATGAAAAGAGGTCACAAATAATCCAGTTCATCACTGGGAACTGTCCTGCTAAGATGAGGTAACTAAGGCTTCATTTCCAATCTATCTAATGCACATAGAATGTGACATAAAAAACACAAAGTTTATCACAAAGAACAAATGATTTGGATAAAGAGGATGATCAAACAATATTTACTGCCAAGTGGAATATTACATTTTAGTATATTTGCATATAGAGATAATCTTTAAATAAAAGTATGCCATTAAAAAAAAACAAAGTAAGTAAAAGAAAATGAATGTCCAATCAGTCTTCGTCAATATTCTGTGGAAACTGTTTATAAATGCAAAAGTATACAGTGTTTATAATGAAACAATTTCTGTATTACATATTCTGCAAGATAGTTAACAGAAGGAATCAAAATTTTATTTTTCTCAGTATTTAACATGTCAAAGTTCAGTGATGAGTTATTCATGGTCAAATGATAACTGAATTTAGCTTGAAATATATACTGGTTTAAATAAACCTCCAGTGCATGTAGGATTCCACAGGGCCTTGAAAAGAAAAAAAAAGAAATGAATGGCAAATAACAAAATGAAATGAAATTTTAAAAGAAGATATTAAATGTTTAAACACTTAAATAAAAATACAGATTGACATGAAACTCTTCTGTTGTAGATTTTATGTTAAAATTTGTTATTAGCATTCACAAAGAATATATATTTTTAGTAATGTAAAATGGAAGGATGGATAGTTGACATAATTTTTCCTTTCTTTAAACAAGTAGAAAATGGAGTTTTTCTCAACTCTTTATGCATTCTTCAATGGAAAAACATTCAGAAAATTAGGTAATAGGTAAATAGCACAAGGATCTCTTGAAGATTGCATATTCCACAGTTACTCTCTGAGCCTTACACACTAAGCTTCAGAACGATTTCCATAGTCTTCAACTGTTATTGCCCTACTCTTTAGTCCATCATTTCTGCTGAAACTTCACATGAAAGGAAATTAAAACATTTCAAACTATTTCATACATATTAAAACAAGAAAATACACTTAGTAACTATTCATGAAAGGAAGTGTAGTGTCTAAGAAGTATAGAACACTTTACTCATTCCTAATCACAGTAAAATTGTTGTGAGGAGATCTACAAGATCACAGGATCAATAGTACAAGACTCTGTTATGTACCAATATAAAGGATATATCTGTGTATGTGTGTGTGCGTGTGCACGTGTGCGCCACGTATCAGTATATAAAATATAACAACATATCAGATCTGCAACTGTGAGGCTTCTAAAGCAGTATTGGCAGCTTCTGAAGGAATTCCACACAAAGAGAAACCATCTTATCTGAGTCCACACCAAGAAATGCCATAAGAAAGGGCACTCAATAACTGAGGAACAGGACAGCAGGTTGTGATAGAGCAGTGTCTGTGGAACAGTTCTCTATGAGAACAGTGGGTGCTATAATCAAATCCCATTATCTGAGCAATCATTAGGTTTAAGAAATTCTGATTTTACCCTTGCAAAGTTTACTGAGACATGCAGTGTGTGTGTGTGTGTGTGTGTGTGTGTGTGTGTAGTATGCACATATTATATACTAGTAGCATTTTAAAGAGACATTTGTCCATTGTTTCACAGAATATTGCTCATTTCTTGGACATTAAGACTGATTGTTGCATTCTGTAAATGAGGCTGCAAGGTTTGAATGCTTTCAAATTAGCACTCAGAAGCTATAGCTTCAGTGGACAGAGTAGTACTACTGTGAATGAAGTGTATAGTGATTAATTCTCTTGGTCCTCAAAAGAAAGCTTGCTGAAGATACATAACCAGAGAAATGTGTAGAAAAATGTATTTAAAAATTCACTTTTCAAGGTGTATATGGTACTGTTTGATGATCCATTAAACTCGTGTATGTCACATAATTTTTATCTCTTCCTTTCCTGTTTTTTATGCAAAGCATATTTCCGGGTCCACTCAAAGGACATTTCCTTGATCTCACTTACACTAGTCTATAGTACTACATTGCTTACTTTCTCACATAAGCATTCTATTATTTCCTTTTTTTTAGGGTAGGGAATATAAATTAAATAGCAAAAAACAAGGTACTACATGATAGAATCATAAGTTGCATTCATTTATTAATAGTCTAAAGATGTCTCTATATGACAATATTGATATTTCATCTTCTTTCTTGCCTGGACAGCCGTCTATTTGGTAATGGACTGGTTTCTATCAATGAGTATTTGTGCTATTTCCATCATTATCCTTGATCATAAATGCTGACTAGAGAATATTTTAGGAGCATGTAGTTTGGTATATATGGAAATATATGTCTTGGTAGATTTTGTAGTTGGTTCACACTGCTTTATTGCATTCTCAAAACATTCTTTGTCAGAGGGTGTGCATGTGGCAAGGTTATTCATTAACAGGATATGTTTTAAAGGTACATTAAAATGCTCATGTGATTAAGTGATATTCAGTTAGTTAAACTATAAAGAAAATTATATTCTACTATTGTTGCAAAACAGTAATTATTATATTTAAAATGGCAAAATTTAAGACTGTATGGTTTATATATGTGATATAGAGATGTGATTGTGTGTTTAGTCAAATAGCATGGTGGCAGCAAAAACTTTCAAAGATGCAAAAATTAATATACACCCTCACATCCACTGATATTTGCATACTTTCTAATTTACATGGAATCATTTAGTTTCTCATTTCATAAATCATCATCATGAGTAATATTATCGATGCTTTCACAAAAGAAGAATTAAACCTTTCAGACTCAGTGAATACTTGTAAACCCCTTGTAACTAAGAAGTAATCTTTTAGGCCTGGTATGGAAGCTCAGGCCACTGAGGCAGAAGGAGGAATGTTGTGAGTTCTAGGCCATCATAAACTACATACTAAGTTCCAGGACAGCTTAGGCTAGTAAGACTCTCTCTCAAAACGGCGGGAAAAAGTTCTTAGTTGCATTTTTGTAGGCTAATTCCCAAAATTAAAGATTTGGAAAACATGAGATTTGGAGCCTCTCATGAATTAGTCCTTCCCTGAGCATAGAAAATGAATAGCTCATCCAGTTCCAGGTTCTATCTTTAAACTGAAGAAAATGCTAAATCTTTTATACTGCTTTTCTTCTAGAAAATAATTCTATATTGGACTATAACATCAATTTGATGGATTAATTCAAATTTCATCCATTTATAAACATAAAATTCATAAAATAATGATAAATCTGAAATAATTCTGATATTTATAGAACTGACTCTTTAAGTATTCTGAACTGCAAATTACACTCCTTTGGTATAAATTTTCTATATACTAATTCAGCCTCATAAATTTACAATTGTAATTACCATCTTAACTCAGCATCACTAAAGAGTATAATTTCCTTGCATTCTTACTTTATGGTGCATAAGGTTAATGATATATGTGGCTTGCTTCTAAGAAAGTTTCTAATGGAATAGTCTAAAAATTCCTCCTTCCATGCCAGTTCTGTATAAATACATTTATGAAACTTTTTTCCTTAACTCACTATGACTACATTGTATAATAACTTTATATCTTTATTTTTAAATACTTTCAATCTACAAATTTCAGTATCTTTGACCCCTAAAATAATCCATTTCAGTTTTCTCAATGGCAAAAGTTAGATAAGCTTGAAGACCCTCAAATCCAAGAGTATGAAGCAAGCGACTGAGAAGTATCAACCTTCAAATAATGAAGCAAGTATTTATATATTATTTATATTGCATAAGATATTGCATGTGACCTGGAGAGGATGCCTCACATACAGCAGGATGTGCGACTACTGGACTCTTCTTATAAGAACTTGAGTACATGACAGTGGTTCTAATGTAGCTCCTGGAGCAATCTCTCAGAGATACTAAGGGATAAATGTGCTTATTATCAGTTCTTCCAGAGAGAATGGAGAGGGAAGGAGAGCGGGGAGGTGAGGAGAAGAGACACATGTGATTATCAGGAACTCTGGATGAGTTTAGCTTTACTCTCACTTCTTATGCCAAGTGGAAATGACAGTGGGTTACTAAGTCATGATTCCTTCAGGTGGAATGAAAAGAAGGCCTAAGTCTGCTGCTCCTTCAACTGGATGGGACACAGCAGGCCAGAGTCTCTGCTCCAGATGACAAGACAAAAGATGCCTGGGTCCTCTGTTTCCTGGGATAGGCTTTGATTCTCTAGTGTAAGTTTCCTGATACACTCAATCTACTCCGAGGCCTCATAGCACAGAGGTCCCCTTTTTATCCTAGGTGGTTTCTATGCTAATCTGACTATTCATATCCAGGACTGTGACAAAGAGAGAACAATTATCTCACTTACCTGGACACTCAAAACGTCTTCAGGCAGGAAATTATAATATGATTTCTATCAAAGATGCTTTTCTCTTGACTTTCAAGGCACACAGCTCACCCTCTCTGTTTCAGTATCCCTGTGTTACTCTTCTGATGCCATCTCCACTCTAGCCTCTCACATAATCTGTAACTCCTTCCTATGTTCCCCCTCCCTGTGCACAATGCACTTAGAACCTTTTATCATTTCTTAGTTTGTTTGCCTTAAACTATGCAGATTAAGCAATTGCCCACTCCATAGGAGACTATCTGGGGCTTTTCAGTTAAAGGTTCCAGGTAAATCGTGATATTTGTTGAATATTAGTTCAACAGATTTTTAAAGCTGTGTTATAAAACCACATTGGACAAGCCAAGCATCTGAATTGCATAGAAAGTAGCATGTTTACTAAGCATTTTTCACTGAAGTTTTAATCAGGCATTTAATATAATATGAAAAATAATTGTCCTAAAGCAAACAAAACTCTATAGCTCTTTACATTTGTGGTTTAATTTCTATGTATAAAGAGAAATACCTGAGTTGAGTGAGTATTAAGAAATGGAGCACTTGAAGAAAGACATTATTTTTTCTGGCAAGTGCCAAGACATATCCATACACAATTGGACATTCTGACTATGAAAGATGACAGAAGCAATGTATTAGAGCGAGGAAGATTTAAAACAGTACAGGTTCTTAGAAACAAATGAGAATGCTGAATTGACAACTATTCAACTGAGATAATATATCAGCATATCACAAAACCTTCCTTTTCTAGAACACAGAGCTAATCAACCAGTGCAGAAAAAGGCAAGCATCTGCATCCCTGTCCTGAGAGACAGGACAAATTCATCTCATACATTTCATGGGGCTAATCAACCAGTGCAGAAAAAGGCAAGCATCCACATCCCTGTCCTGAGAGAGACAGGACAAACTCATCTCATACATTTAAGGGCTCTTGGTACACTAACTGCCATGAGAAGCTCCAGCTCAAAATCTACTTAATCCAGGAGAAGTTTCAAAATACACAGAAAACTGTACTGAGAAATTCTCTAAATATCTTCATGTATAATGAATATTTTTTAATTTTTAAGCCTATAAGTAGAAACTTCATATATAAAGCAAATTTCCTTGAGAAAGTAAGTTAAAATAGTTGAAAAACACAGGATAATACTAAGTCAAACATATATATATATATATATATATATATACATATATATATGCATATATATTATACAGGACTTAATCAGAAATATAAATGATTGTATAATTCAACAAATTTTCAATAGTCAAGTGAAAACCATCGATAATATATACACTGATCACAACAATTTCATATTTGATTAAATATCTGGTAATTTCACATTTTAGAAAGTGATCAAAATCTTAAACATTCAATAATAATAAACATATTCTCTAAAATTTAAAACATATACAAAGTAGTAGATCTCTTCACTCAAAATTCTAACAATAAAAGACAGATATGATTAATCTAAGTAAATCAATGCATTACTTAAAATAAAAATTTATACTTGAAGTCAATCATATTTACATAAAATAACTTTTTATAAAACATAGCATGGAAGTAAAATATTACTCTAAGATATTAAATTAATTAAATCCTAAATTTTCTCACTGATAATATTTAAGACCTTCCTTGTTGAATTTAGATATTCACTCTCAAATAGTTTAATCAAATTATTATTTGCAGTAGCTCTCAAGCTTCAAAATATTTACAAACAGTTTAATATGTACTATACGGAGGCCTTTAAATGTAGGTGTTGTAATCAGAAAGATCCAATCGGTTGATATGGTCTTATAGCGAACAGTGTTGCTTCCTGACTCTACCCATTCATCTTCTATCTGGTTTCAAAAGTGCAGGTGACACTTAAGAAATTATTCGGTTTCAAGATTCCTAATAAAATTGTTTCATAAGTGCACTTATTTAAAAACCTTTAAATTCATCTATAGTGGACTTTTATTAACATATTTCATTCTGTATTCATATAGATTACTTTCTTATGTAGCATATATAGCAATAACCATGTCCTGCATGGTAATGATGACTTGGTCTTTTGTAGTTTGACATTCACCCCTCTGATACATGATCACAATTGGTCCATGAACAGCAAATGGTGGCTGATATTGTCAGCTTCAAAAAGCAGGTAGGAAAGTGTAAGAACCAAGGATGATGAAAAAGGTTTCAACTAAATTCTTCTTTCTTTCCTGAGAAGCTCTAGCAAAATTGTGAATAGAGATTTTATACACATATGTGTGTGTTTATAAAATTCTAACATAAAATAATTTTATGAAATATCATGAAGAAAATGTTATAAAGATCGTGATTCATACGTACATGTAAATTAAATTATTTACAAATAAATATTGCAGTTGATGGATGATACTTCCTGTTCCTGGAGAAGTGTGCATGAGTCACATGTGTCCCAGTTATCATGCAATTCATCATTCTAACAATGCCTTATTTTTAATTGATTTACAATATTTCTTTCCTCAAGTTTTCATATAGAAAGCACTCTCGAGTTCATTCATGCAGTTAAATATAGCTACTTTCGTAAGTTTCTGTGCATTTAGTCATTCGTTTGTTGATTCTGCAGATTGTGTTATATTTAAATGACTAGGAAATGCTAAGCATATCAGCATGAACTGAGTACTGTTCTCTGTTAACAGCTCTCCAAACCATAACAATTGCTTATGTATGGGTATGCTTTAGGAGTCATAACCAAAGAAGTATTCTTCCTTGACCTCAGGTCACAGGCTGATTTGCCTTCATCACATGAAGAACAATGAGGACTTTAAGAGAACTATCATGTTCCGGACTCCTTCATAAAATTTGCTTTTATAAATTTTAAAACCAAGTACTAAGATGTATATTGCAAAAAGAATATAAGGAACCACAGAGAAGCAAATTCGAAAAAGGTTGCAGGTAGCTGGGGTCCTAAGTATAAATGTTCACAGCTTAGTTATTTCTCCAGGGGCAGCATTCACTCCTCAGACAACAGTTCTCACCAGCATTCACAATGGGATCTAAAACCTGACACTGTTGCATAAAAGTCTTTTATTATTTACCTATGTTGACTCACTGAGCCAGTTAGAATGCAGGTACTCAAATATTAACTTCCAAATCAAGCCCAAATGCATATGGGTCTTCCCTGTCTTTGTATTAAGAATGCATTACTTTTCCTAACAATCCAGGCACATCACAGATCCCATGATAAAAAAAAAATGGTTTCACTTTCCTGGAATTCAGATAACTCAGCTAAGAATTGAGTGCTTTGAAGTAGCTGAATTCTAGCTAACCTATAGTATACATGTGCTATGATGTATATTGCAGAACAGTTTGATGGTGATTGTGTTTTTATAATTCTTTTTGAAACATCTCTGACATCCAGTCTTAGAAATGCACAGATGATTGTCTAAAATACATGTTGGATCTATACCCTAAGAACTGATACACAAATATATATTTACAATTGTTATATCAAGGAGGGGAGAAGTCCCTCAAATGAAATAAATAATGGATTACTTATTTTAAACTATCCTAAAATTATAAAATTTGTTCCTTTCAAAAATAAAGATTAACAGCATGTATATAACATATAAAACTAGGCTAGAAACGTTGCTATAATGATATAAGTATCTGTAGAATATTTAAACGTCCAGAAGAAAACATTAAAATGAATACTATAGAAAAATTCCCTGGAAAAAAAACATAGGTTTTAGCACCTTTAAACTAATGTTAAATTTTGAAAACAATTTGTCCTAGAAATCAAAACTGGATTAATTTGTGAAAGAGACATGTAGTTATTGCAGTATTAACAATACTGCTGCAGTTTGCATGGCAACACAAGAATGCCATCTACATTCATGTTATCTGATAACATGAACTATAAATATAAACATGTTATCATTAGAGTGAAAAATGTTCACAAAGCTGAATGCATCCAGTTTCTTGTGAACAAAGTAGTGACAGCTTACTCATTGACATGTCTAAGTGTAAGAACAGATTCTTTCAATAGATGGCAATGAGCAAGAGAATTCCTTTACTTTTCAGCAGAGGGGAGTTGAAAGCAATTCAACAAAACACAAATTTTAGAGCTGTGTTTAAGATTATTATTTATACCAGCTTTAGGATTTATGGAGGATTATTGGGTTACAGCACATTTTACAATCCTATCAGCAAGTATTTTACATTAAGAAAAAATACTAACTTTTAATTAAATTACTTGCATTGCCTACACTGAAGCCCGAGAGCTAAAGCATTATTGTAACATTGTTTGCCAAGTTGGAGGTTTTCTTTTATATGCCTGCATGTAAAAATGTTTGGCCTTAGGTTACTGCAAACCTAATAACTTTATTAAATTGCAAATAAATAAATTAGAATTTCCTTAAAAACAAATTATCCTAGTATTATTATGCATATTCTGGTGTGTCTTAAGATTCACTAGCTCAGAAAAGCATGTAAGAGATGTTGGTTTAAAAAATTAATAGGACTTTTTTATGCCACTTGGGGCCTGGAATTATTCTTTCCAGTTCAACCAGGTGTTTGGGGATTTTTTGAGAACAAGTGAGGACTAGCTCACAGTCTGATTCTGTTCAGTCAACACAGGACACCACAGCAGAGGTAAATAAACTGTGGAAGTCTGAAGACCAATGAAGATGATAAAAAAAAGCTACTTATAAAAAAAGCTCAAATAGCTACTTACATCACATCCTAGAAGTTCAGTCTGCGTGGATTTATCTACACGTGAAGCAAAAGCCTTCTGTAGATGCTGCACTTTTTCCTACAAAGTAGAAAAAGAAAAATACAACGACAGTAAGCCATGTGCTTCTATGCTAGTATTCCCTGCTTATTAAAATTTGATTAATCTCTAATTCATGAACCAGTGTGTGTGTGTGTGTGTGTGTGTGTGTGTGTGTGTGTGTGTGCCTGTACACTCAATTATGGTGGTATTTTTTGAATTAGTGTAAATATTTGCAGCTTAGTTTTCCAGGCATGACCATCCCACTGGACCATCGTTTCTTCTAGTCTAAGAGTGACTGTGGTGTTTTTGCATGAGTAGTGCCCCCCAGAGTTTCAGGCATTTGAACACAACTGTCAAAGTATGTCTTGCAGTTCTGCAAGACTGGAACACGTTTGTAGGTTGGGTGGAGAAGCTACGGTCACCTCAGCTAAGAACAGAAAGCCGAATTATTTGCAGACTAAGTTAAAGTAGAAACGAGTGTGACATGGAGCTTTTTATGGGTAATAGCATTCATAAATAACTGAAGTCACAAAGATTACTATAGTGATGGGCCTAAATAGCTACAAGTTCAAAAAGTGTTTAATGAGAGTCAGGAGAGATATGACAGTGGAAAATGAAGCCAATAGAGCCAAGTCAGGCCAGGAGGTCCAAATGTGACAAAGGCTGAGACAAATGAAGAGGCCAGAGCAGACAGGACAGAACCTTGCACAAATGATTCCCAAGTAGCTTCCTTCTCAAAGTTCTACTCTATAATTGAAAGGTCAGAAACACAATTTGACATCAATCCAAGCACACTGATTTCAACTTGTCTGTGGCCTTAGATTACGCATAAGAAGCAATCAGAGCAAAGTAACACAGAGAAGAGGGGCCTCTGGCAACAAGCCAAAGCAAAGTTCTCGGGCCACCTGTGCTTTTTGTTGGCTCCCCAATCCCCTAGAGGTAAGCAATCCCAATTTCTCTAGGCCCCTGGGGGATAGTGGGAGGTTAAATTGATTCAATTTCTCACAGGCAACTTTTACAAATAAATCTGTAAATTGGATTATATCATTGACTTTATCTTTTCCTTTCTAAGCAGTTAACAATTTGGTATTTCTTAATTGAAATACCAAAGGTTGGCTTTTTTTTCCCATTTAAAATTAATAATACATATGTGCATAAATTATAGAAACATGGCAGATTTTGTAGAGAGTCAAGGTAAGATGAAAAAGATGTCTCCTGGTTTACATTTGCTGATGTTTGGGTTACTAAATGTTTGCTAATTTGGGGTGCTGTGTGCTACTGCTATTGAGTACAAGTATTCTTTCCTGTTCAAACCTCGAAGTGGTTAAATTATAGATTGGAGATAATATGACAGTTTAAAAGATAACTATCATCATAATAAATAAATGCATATAAGCCAAAAATACAGTTTATTTTAAATTATGGAGAGTGTTTAACTACATTTACATTCTTTCCTACTGTAATCTTTACCACTGTAATTATCACCACTTACAGCAGATGCAAATAATTCAGTTTAAGACAGATGTCAGGCGCCAGAGCAAGGAATACACACAATTTATTTATGCAATAGTCATTTAAAAATATTGTCACTTAAGTACATGAAATAAACACTGAGTTAAAGATCACACAAGACAGCTGGGCAGTGGTGGCACATGCCTTTAATCTGAGCACTTGGAAGGCAGAGCCAGGCCAATCTCTGTGAGTTCGAGGCCAGCCTGGTTTACAGAGTGAGATCTAAGAGAGTCACCAAAACTACACAGAGAAACCCTGTCTTGAAAAAAAAAAAAAAAAAAAAATCCAAGACAGTAAGCGGAAGTGAAAATTCAAACCTTCCTCTGTCTTCAACCTTAGTTTTCTTATATATAAAGATATTACAACTCTGAAAAGCTATAAAGAAATCATTTTATCTCTGTGTCATATAGGAAAGAAGACATACCACATACGTAATTTCTGTAGTCATTGTACAGCCAGTAATTGCAGAGTGGTAACAAATTATTCTTGAGGTCTACCTGTTTATATTCTCTTTCAGACTTTACTAGGTTATGCTTTTCTATAGAAGGAACTTAATACTGCTTTAGATTTACCCATGAATTTCCTGTAAATATCACAATTCCACAGAATACCTACTGCCATATATATGATCAGTAATGAATTTTATAGCAGGAGTCAGAAGTGAAGGATAAGGATAATGTTGAGTTATAACACAAATTTTGAGAAGAGCCATGTGGCAAAGCAAACATGTAAAAGCCAAATTTTGAGAAGGTATGAAATCCCTTCAATAGCCATGTCAGTTAATCACAGCAGAATATTCTAAAAATATTCTATTTATCCTAAGAGTCATATTCAGGCATAAACATATTTGGGGGGGCATGTGTATGTGTGAGTGATAAAACAGGCATTAATAGACTTGGCATCCAGAGCACATTCTATCCATATAGAAATGCTAATTTCATAGGTTGGCATCATCCCCACACTCCGTGTCCTAAGTTAGATCCTTAGCATTCACATGCTAGTTTACAATTATTCATAACTTCAAGGCCTGGGGCTCTAACACCCTTTTCTTACCTCTGCAAGCACCAGCAATGCATGGGGTGCACAGAAATACATAAAGGCAAAAGACTCACATACACAAAACAGATAAATAAAAAAAAACACAATTGTTTAAATTGTAGTAGTCTTTTTACATACAGATAGCAAACACACTAGGAAAGAGATATTGGAAACACTCTCGCTCTCAAATCAAACAAAGAAACAGAAAAACTGGAGGAACAAAACTAAGCAATATGGTTACTATGGAAACCCTAGAATGAAAATTGTAAGACCTTGAAGTCAGAGACTGGGGAAGACACTAGAAGATGGAAAGATCTCCTATGCTTATGGTTTAGTAGAACTTATATAGTAAAAATGAACACAAAGGCACTGTAGCTAGAGTTTTTCTGGTCCTACCTGGCTCACGGTCAGGACAAATCTCTCTCACCTGCCAGTCTTGCAGCTGCTCAGACCCAACCAAGTAAACACACAGAGACTTATATTGCTTACAAACTGGATGGCTGCAGCAGGCTTCTTGTTATCTAGTTATTATATCTTTTTTTTGGGGGCGGGGCGGTTCAAGACAGGGTTTCTCTGTGTAGCTTTGCACCTTTCCTGGATCTCGCTCTGTAGACCAGGCTGGCCTCAAACTCACAAAGATCTGCCTGCCTCTGCCTCCCGAGTGCTGGGATTAAAGGTGTGCACCACCACCACCTGGCCAGTTATTATATCTTAAGTTAACCCATATCTATTAGTCTATAAGTTGCCATGTGGCTCGTGGTTTACCAGTACCTTACATCTCGCTTGTCATGGCTGTGGCTGTGTCTCTCTGCCTCATCCTTCCACCTCCCAGAATTATTCTCCTCCTTGTCCTGCTACCCTATCTTTCCTGCCTGGCTACTGGCCAATCAGAGTTTTATTTATTCACAACATACAGGACAACCCACAGCAAGGCACAATTCAAATATTCAATGCAAACACAAATCAATAAAAATCCACACAACATTTTTCACAGAAGTAGTAAAAATAAGTCCTAAATTTCATATAAAATCATACACACACACACACACACACACACACAAACAATCACACACACCAGATAACCAAAGGAATCCTAACTAAAAATAATAATGCTGGAGTGATGACTATATTTAATTTCAAGCTAAACTTCAAAGCTATAGTAATCAAAACAGCATGGTACTGGTACAAAGACAGACAAGTAGATCAATGGAACAAAATAGATGACCCAAATATGAGTACATGTAATTACAGTCATATGATATTTGGCAAAGATGCCAAAAACTTAGAGTGGAGAAAAGAGGCCATCTTCTTCAAAGAACGGTGCTTGGAAAACTGAATGCCCATATCAACCAATAGCAATTAAGTTAATTGAAGTGGAAAAGGTCATGAATTTGGGAGGGGATGGAGGAGTACACAGCAAGAGTTGCTGGAGGGGAGGGGCAAAAGTAATGCAAATACAATCTTCATGTATGATAGTCTCAAAAAATAAATTTCAAAAGAAGTAAATTTAATGGAAACAAGTCTAATTTTACTTTGTTTTTTGGGGAATGGCACCATTGAAGAATATTTTTCCATTTACTTATGCACTAATTGCTTTGCATGTCACTGAAGCAGCATTGCAAATGGCATAAATAAAATATACATAAAACAAAATTTTAAATATTTCTAAGAACTTAAATTTCAGACTTGAAACTATCAAATGAAGAGAAGAATACAAACATAAAATGCTTCAGATTAGTGGAAGGGACCATGATGATTTGAATAAGACCCTCAGAGGTCAAAAAAGTTATCATAGACAAACAAGATTGCATCAAACTAAGTTTTAGCACAACATACGATAGCCTCTGCATACTGTGTTGTGTAACTGGAGGTTAAAGAACAAAAACAACAAATCATTGTTGTTATCCCTGGTTTACAGAAGAAAGTTTGGCAAAGAGTAGGTTTAAACTAGGAGAACTGATTTCTAAAACCTTTAAAAGAACTCAGTCTGCTTTAAAATACTATAAACCTAACATGAATCTAGAGCTTGTAATGATGGAAATGAAATACTGCTAATAATTAACATGAAAAGAACATAAAAGATGACTTTTAAAATGGAAAAGTAATGTTATTCATTATAATAAAATCCACACAGTGTGGTGGATCAAATTTATTCTATGAATTAAGTGGGTGAATGGAATTTGAACATCATCATGCATTGGATTTTGATGTCAATACAGAATCATTTACATAATATGAAAACAAAACCAAGAGAGAAAATCACAGGGATTACTTAACAATGCCAAAGCTAGAAATGAGCACCGAAAGGCAAAGTCATTACTGCACAGCACACATTGATTATTCGTATACCGCCCCCCCCCTTTAATGAGCGTGCATCAGTGCAAACATTAGGAGAATTAGAAGGAGAACAGCAGCCAGGTAAACAAACTTCCTTGAACTATCTGGGAGCTACCAAGAACATAGGACAATGTTTTAGTGAAATCCAGTCA